ATCCCTATAGCCTGCATATGTCTATATTAGATAATCATGTCTCTAGGGTTATGTTTAACCATAACCAAAACTATATTTGAAAAAAGTGCAAAAAAAAAAATATATATATATATAAATGCAAACTAAACATAAACGAGAAATGTTATCTTGGCAACTAGCAGAAATACTAAGATGACTACAACTAAATGAAACTAATAATTTAAAAGTAATAATCTATAGACATGTTTTAGAATATATATATATATATACACACACACACTCATACTGTATATATACACACACACACACATACATATATATACACACACACACATACTGTATATATATACACACACACACATACATATATACACACACACATATATACACACACACACACATACTGTATATATACACACACACACACATACATATATACACACACACATACACACAATGTTTGGTTTACTTTCATAAGCTGTATGGGAGTCTCAATTCATCATCTGTTCGTCTTCAGATCATCGTCGCCAGCCAGGACAATGCCAGAATCATCCTTCAGATCGACAATGCCAAACTGGCAGCCGAGGACTTCAGAGTCAAGTTAGTACAACAAACAAAAACCTTTACCTTCTTATTCCCTCATTTAAAACATATTTTCATGAAGTTTGTATTGACTTTAATATCCTACTTCATTCAAGTAAAAAAAACCCCCAGCTTAAACCAGTCTAGACCAGTAGGCTAAACCAATCTTTCATTCCCAGCAAGGGTTTCCCCTAATTTTATGAGCTTGTTAATGTCACACCCAACATTTTAACACTTGGGTTTGTCTAGATTCCCAGCCTAACATTGTTATTCTTGGCGGCTTCAGGTACGAGAATGAGTTAGCCATGCGTCAGTCCGTGGAGGCCGACATCGCCGGTCTAAGGAAGGTTCTGGACAACCTCACTATGAATCGCTCAGACCTTGAGATGCAGATTGAGGGTCTGAAGGAGGAGCTAGTCTACCTGAAGAAGAACCATGCAGAGGTGAGATCAAAAAATATTTTATGGCCCTCCAGGCAGGGCAAACCTGGTGCAGCAAGGCAAGATCTTTACCCAATAATCCACCAGACCAGACCAATAATCTTCTCCAATCAAGTGTAATTTTAAACATTAGGCACTATTATAAATGCTAATCCTGTAATTAAATGTTACCCGGAGCACTGGCATTCAAAACGTAAAGGTGCAGTCACATTTCCCACTCCAATAGGTATCTGTGCAAAAGAGAATTTTGTGTGAAAGCAAAATAAAAATAAAAATAATTTCTTACCTCTACCACTAGGGGAAGCTTTATTTGATAAAAACTACATAGCCACACCCCTAATTGTTTCTCTCAGCTCAAATTCCAATTAGTTATGATTATGTTAAAAAATATATTTCCAGCTGCATATAGAGGGAGCAATTTGTAACTATTCTGTGAAATTTCACTCATGTGACTGTACCTTAAGAGTCAAAGTTCAAGCATGTCCATGTCCTACAATAGCAATTCCCACTTTTCAAAACAACCATTCTTCAAAAGAATACGCAATGTTCGAAAAGGTGCATAAGCTAACGGCTATATTATTTTTCTGTAGGAACTCGCAGCTATTCGCGCTCAAATGTCCTCCAGCAGTGTAAACGTAGAGGTTGACGCTGCACCTCAGCAAGACATGGCCCGCATCATGGAGGAGATCCGATCCCAATATGAAGGCGTCATTGAGAAGAACCGCAGAGAAATGGAGTCCTGGTACAAGGGCAAAGTAAGTGCTCGTTCTTATTTGCAATGGCTAAAACATACACAATCAGCTAGAAAATGACCTCAAACCTCTTTCCCTACAGTTCGACGAACTGAGCAAGCAGGTATCCACCAGACAAGAAGACATTACATTGTCCCGCAGTGAAATCAACGAGCTCAGGAGGACCCTTCAGAGCCTGGAGATCGAACTACAGTCGCAGCTCAGCATGGTAGAAGTCTTTCTTTCTCATTAAAATTAATTCTAGCTTTAATTTAATGTTAAAAACATTTCCACAACCACTAGGAGGAGCTTTATTTGATCCAACATGCATAGCCACACCCCTAATTATTATTCTATGCTCAAGTTTCTACTAGCTTTGATCAATAATGTTAAAAAATACATTTTGCAATAGCTGCTTCTAGAGGCAGCCACTTAGGCAATTTATTATGCATAGCCCCACACCCTCACCTTTCTTCTATGCTTTATGATTTGACAGAAAGCGGCACTGGAAGGCACACTGGGAGAGACAGAGTCACGGTACAGCCTCCAGCTCAACCAATTGCAGGCCGTCATTAACAGTCTGGAGGTGGAGCTTTCTCAGATGCGCATGGACATCGAAAGACAGGGCAGCGAATACAAACTGCTCCTGGACATCAAGACCAGACTAGAGATGGAGATCGCAGAGTACAGGAGACTTCTGGATGGAGAGGACATTCAGTAAGTTTGTTACAAATAAACAAAACAAATGAACACCAAATTGTCTTATCAAAGATCACAGGAGTTGTACGATATTTCAATTTTTTTTTTTTTTTTTTTACAGGAGACAGACGATCAAATTTGTAGAGGTTGTAGTTCCTCCTCCCCCCAAGCGTGAGTATTTTTAGAATTTTTTTTAAAATTCAAAATTGCATTATACATATTAAAATGTTTTAACCTAAAATAAAATACGACATGATAAATCAATTTAAATGATTTAAATACAATTAAAACGTTGACAATTAGATGTAAATGGGTAGCTTTTAACTTTTTAACAATTTTTCTTTATTCTATCTCTCCAGCCGAACCTGTGGTGACCAAGCGTGTTCGCACAGTAATCGAAGAAGTGGTTGATGGAAAGGTCGTTTCTCGCACAGAGGATGTTGATGTCGAGGTCGTGAAGAAGTAAAAATGAGTCAATGACAGCAATGAGCTCTGTAAAGCCGGCATGAATTTTCAGCCTCAATACAGCTGATTAAATTATCCCTGTTCAACATCTCATGTAAAATGCCAAGAAAAATAATAAAAAAGACAAGCTGAGAAATTAAACGTGTTTGTTCTTTCATTCCTGTATGAGTAGTAGGTCGATATTTATCAAAAACAACACTGAAAATAGGAGTTTGAGCTGTATTATATTTGATTTGACGTGTGTCACAAGCGCCAAAAGACGGAATTTTCAAATGTACGCCAGTAAGAAACAAAACAGTCTGTACAAAAGACATACTCGCTCTCTCACAGACAAACAAACACAACTGGGAGATATACAAACATGACATATAATTTCCTTTGTATTTTTCTGACGTTTTAAAAACTACTAAAACAAAAATAACCACCATTATCTTTTCAGAACACTTTTAATATATAACGTTGTATTTACAAGTATTTCACATATGACACTATGTAGTTAAGAGCCCCCCCCCACAGGTGTCCGTATTTGACAAAATGTTCAACATAAATAAACAGCATATTTTTCCCCATTACACAATTACAGTATAAATTCTACAGTAGCACAGCCGACTACCACAGTCAGTTGCAAAGTGCTGTCCTTTTTTTCGTTAAATACAAAAATACCACCACTTCCGATGCAACGTCGGTAGTAAATTTCTAGCTGCTGCGCTAAACAACGTACACTGAAGCAAAATCGGCTCACATTCAAAACGGTGGGCGGGATTGGTCCTTGACGCCAAATCGTTTGCACAATGGCACCGCAAAACGGCATTCGGAGGGAAATGTTTGTAAAAACATTCGCAAACAATTAAGATGGTCCAGAATGTCACATAAAAAAATGATGCTCCATAATTCAATGGTATCCTTTCTCTTCAGAAATGCAGAAAATGAGAACTTAAAACTAAAAAATGCATTAAATTCATTTATTGTTAAATTTTGCACTTGCGGTGAATAAAACGTTAAAGCGGCCAATGAGTTCAGTAAATGTCATCATCTCTACAGTCATAGCAAGTACTAAATGAACTATGACCACCTTTCGAATAATATTGCAGGTAATAGCTAACAGGTAACTAGTTAGAGAAGATGAGCTATGGATAAGCATAACCAATGATAAGCAGAATTAAAACCGGTATCTTCAGAGAGTGGAGCAGATATTTCTTCTCAACCAAAAACACAAAATTATATAAAATTAACTAAAATCTGAAGGTAATAGATTTCTTACAGTAGAAAAATTTGATCGTAAACATTGAAGAAAATTGGTGGTTGCGAATATGTGATGATCTTTACGCTAACCAGAGAGAGTGCTAGACTAAATCGTACATTAAACATTTAATTTGCGTCCATACTTCAGCTTTATTTTCTAAATAATATGCTTCAAAGATCCGGCAAACATGGATCTGAAAGAGGATCAGCTGCCTGATGCAGATACAAAATGCCAGCCGTTTTACGTACTACACGTAGCCTTGCAATAAATAGCGATTAGCCAAAGCGACGTACCAACCGGTTTTAGAGGCAAACGGCTGTGAAATTTGGCAGCAAGAAACATCTTCACCATGGCTCATATTTAATGCAGCAGGTGGCCTGTTAATTTCGCTAAATTTATAGAGAACTTTAATGTTACCATGGAAACTTTATCAAGTAAAGAAAGTACTTTACGAAAGTCTAAAGTACTTTACGAAAGACTATATTTAAAGCGCCAGGGTAAAAACTAATGAAATGTGTATTGTTAAAAGCTTTGATTTTGTTTGACAATTTAAAAAAAGTTAACGATTTTAACTTACGTTTTAAACTTAAACGTTGAAACAATTACAGTCACAGTCAGGAAAAGGGAAGAGAACGGGCCGAGCACCTGTTGCACCTGCTGTTCAAGTCCACCGTTAAAAATCCCCCAAAACAAATAAATAAAACATAAAACGTGCTGTCATTAGTTGCAAGAGTTAATTCTGACATGGACTGTGGCTCATTTCAGCTTTTGGCACAAAAGCAAATTTCTTTCTCTAACCCAAATGATTAACATTATTAACCGTACCTACTCATAAGTAACATGATACTGTTTTTTTTTTTAAATGAAAAATCCCCTTAAGTCATTGTTTGTCGCTGTAAAGTGCAATAGTGCTTTTTCGTCTGTATTCTAGCTTGCGGGCGATCAGGTCCACTGCCTTCCAGCAGGGGGCGACAGCGAGCTGAGTGCAGATCTCACTGGCAGTAGTTGTAAATCACAGAAGAACCTCAGAAATGCTGAAGGGCGGTGTTCATTCTTCCTTTTCGACTGGAGGCTCAGTCTCAAATGGCTTTACAAGCTCCTCATCATAAACTTTCAGAATCGCTTCGCATACAAAACGGTACTGGCTCTGGAAACAAATAAAATGGACAATAAGTGATTTAGCTGCACTATGAATAAACAATACTGTATTTATGCATAAACATAATGAGATTAGCTGGTCTGACAATTTCGGAGACCCTTTTTTGTATCAGTCCACCAGGAAAGAATTAATTGTTTGATTAACCAAAGTTGCGAAGTTCGTGACATCAAATTTTTTATATTTATGAACGTAGTTTGTAGGGATGTAACGATTCACTCAACTTACGATTCGACTTGATTCACGATTTTGATTTCACGATTTTTTTTAACAAAATGAGATTTAAGAAATTATAAATTGTCCTTTTATTATTGCTTGGACAAAATGCTGCACATTTCTTTGTCAAATTGAAATATAACACTATAATAATATACTAATATAGCACTTGCATATTATTGCTCTTTTGTTGGTTTTGATTGCTTCTATTGTCCTCATTTGTAAGTCGCTTTGGATAAAAGTGTCTGCTAAATGACAATTTAAATATAATGTAAATAACAAAACTACATTGAAATTTTAAAACAAGCCCCAAATCAAATAAATTAGTAACACAAATAAAAGAAATCTCTTCATATAAACAAACTAAGGCTTTGTCTGTGCTCTTTCCATTTAAAATTAGAGGCAACCACTGCATTTTAATCACGATCCAAACAAAGATGCTGCATACATGCAACATGAGCAGTTTTTAA